ATTTTTGCGACGAGTGACTGGTTTGGCTTGTCTTTGCCACATATAGCAAAAACAAGAAACAAAGCTTATGCTTAGGAATTTGAAATTTCTCCAACTTCCTTATTAAGCTTGTTAGTAAATACTGGTTGTCCAAATTGTAATTTCTGCTGTAATTTGTTTACTTTAAATCATGTAAATTAAATTACAACAAAAACAAATATCACTTCAAATATTACTGTATAAGTAATTCTCAGTACACCATTAATGAAATGAACACGTGGACTGCCGATGGATGTTTACAGAAATAATTCTATAAATTGTCTGAAAACATTTACCTTGTTTCATTTTGTTTATAGCATGTGTTAGAATGTGAAATTGATTAAGACATCTTCTAATCTAATAATTTAATAGAACTTCTTCTTTTTTAGTTTTACAGTTGTCTCCGGTGGGATTTAAGGCCTTTAGGGTTTGTTTATAGCATGAGTTAGAACGTGAAATTGATTAAGTCATCTCCTAATTTAATAATTTAATACAACTTCTTTTTTTTAGTTTTACAGTTGTCTCCAGTGGGATTCAATGTCTTTAGGGGGAGGGGAATGACAGTAGAGTTGAAATCTACTTGGCTGGACATGTGAGGAACTACATACCACAAGCAAATATGTTGGATTGAAATTTTGGAAGTTTATAATATTAAAAGAAGGATATGTTTAATTTTAATTGAGGAAGGAAGGAAATTCTAATCAAAAAAATTTGAAGAATGAAAATATAAATAAGGTGTTGTGAGTCTACGGTATATTTAACCAACTGTGTGTAGTTCCAAATAAAATATACAGTCGGTCACTGTAAGTGTTAAGTAAAGGTAGATTCAATAAAGGGGGGGGGGGTGGGGGAGGGGTAGTCAGCTCTCTCCACTCCCTAAAGGTACAGGTAGATTCAATGGGAGGGAGTAGCTTTTCTCACCCCTTAAACAACAAATTGGGGAAAGAATTACATTCAATTTTAACTCTATTTCAAAATCCTGGATCTGCCACTCTAAACTTAACAACTTGAAAAATAAAATTTGAGATTTTAATTTCATAGTTTATAATAACAATAATATTAACAAATCTGGATTTGGTGAAAAAAAAATAATAAAAAAAAAAATTCTGCAAACCTAAAAAAGCTAATATTTTAGTTGAGGTTTTGAGCAATACAAAGGTGTGTTTTTTTTTTTTGGATAATCATATATTTTTAGTTATTTTATGAGAGAATTGCAGAGCCTGATTTTATTGACAGTTGGCATCTATACTTTCCTATTCAATTGATTTGCTTTTTATATCAGCTACCACGTCTGCATTTCCTCAAAGTCACCCAGCAGTATTATATACAAATACTGACCAACACCAATGTTTCTACTACTATGCTTTCTGAAATTATATAAACATCTCATGAATTTTTCCTTCCTATGATCTCATCATTAAACTAAAGCACAGTACATCTGCCCTATGCCTAAACTTACCAATAATATGCAGGCCGTACATGATGGGCGAAACTGCAGCATACACTCAAGGAAATAATGGAACCGCTCGTCATATTCAAGCACATTGTTTTCTTGAGTGCTGCCTGAATGCGACAGGCAATTCCATTACTTTCTTTTATGCTAGAGGGTAAAAATCGAAATTCTGAACTTGACCTTTAACCTTTTCTTCCGAAAATTTTAATGGTGTCTTTCTACTATTATGTACCATTCCACTAAATTTTATGATGATCCATTCATTTTTTTTTTTGTGTAATCTTGCAAACAGACAGACAGAAAGCCAGACATCCTGACAGCCCCGGCCAACAGAAAGACGCCGTGGATACATCCTCTTGGCAAAGGTGCAACTACAGTATGTGAATTGGAGCATAGACTCATTCTACACCTACACACCGGTTTAAAAAAGCCTTGGCAAATTAGTTGCAGCCATATTTACAAGTCCGTAAAATTGATTAGTTCCTGAAACTCTAAAAATACACGCTAAATCTAATCAAGGGAAATGATAATAACGGTGTAAAGAGAAAGAATGGCTGTGTATACTTAGGAATTGGCAATCTCTCTGTTTGCTACATAAATCTGTATACTTTTTAAGCCAGCTAAATTGAATTAAAACAAAAAACCAAAAAATAATATTTCTTTTCCAATATACACAGTGAAAAGAGATTTTTTTAAAACATAATTTACAAATACAGGTTTCCCTCTAACTAAAAACCCTTCAAATTAAAGACTACTTTTCTGTGGTCCCATATAAACAAATGTCTATTATCGTTATTATTCTAATTAGAGACCAAAGCTGCTATAAACCATGGAAACATTTCCCCAAAAGTGGTCTTTAATTGGAGCGACAAAACAATAGAGTTTTGCTCAAAAAAAAGGTGAGACTCAGTCAGTCAGGCTTTGGCAACACGAGGTTTTCTTGGCCTTTTAGTTTAAGACCGGCTGGATGTTCAAAGCTACGATTCAGTGACAGCTTGCAAAAGCGATATGAATTGTTTCAAGAGCAAGCCGATCCATTGAATCGATAGTTATAAACAGATGACAGAACGTGCAACAGGATATCCTATCACTATCAATCTGGTTCTAAAACTGAAAGAGCATCTTTCATGGTCACTTCATCAATACAATCTAATCACTTTCACCTCCTTCGTACCACCTTACGAAATCTAGTACTTTTTACTCGAGCCCTGTAATGTGGAATTTGACCCCCATTTATATCAAGAACTTCCCGACCATATAGTCCTACACTATGAACTTACTGCTCCAGTAATGATTTTTTTGTGCTGAGTAGCGATTAATTGAAATTGAAATAAGCCTAGGCGGATCACACAACAACTTTTACCATCTCAAGGTCAAAGGCAGCTTTATTTCTATCACTTTGTTTACAAACTTTTTTTTCTTAATTTTTTGTACACAATTTATTACCTTTTTTATACGCTCATATTCATTTTTTTTTTTTATTATCATTTATTAAGTGATTCTTTCGAGACAAATTCTTTCTTCTATAGTAGATAGGGATCCTGTCAACAGTTTGTCTAGTTACTCAATTATGTTGTTGTGTATAGTAATTTAATAATTACGTAGGAATGGGGGGTGAGAAGAATGTAGCCTTCAGAGTATCAGAAACTGATTAATAGTTGCCATGATAATGATTCTCAACCAGTCCAGGATATTTTCTCAACGTATGTTGTGGTGCTGCATTCTCCATAGAATTGCGGTTTTAAAGGTGTTCTGATTATGAGCTAATAGGTGCAGTTTTTTTTTTTTTCAGTAGAGTGATATGCCACTAAAAAAATTTTATGAAGTTCAAAGTAAAATATAATAACATGAATTTATAAAGTGCATTTTATTCAGAAGTTTTAAGAAATTAGCATCCCAATAATTACTATATGCACCTGGGTACTACATCTTAATGTGAGGAGTGTAATTTCAGAGTGGAAAGAGATTTAATAATGTAATAATATATGCACTTCAACTGGTACTTGAACAGTTCAAATGGTATCTGTGCACTAGCAGATAATTGGTATTTCTTGAGTGCCAATCAAAATGAACAATTGACCAATCAGACCAATGCCAGGAATATGTGCTTGTCCCACAAACGCTGTCGTTTTACCAACGTTACCAACATATTCAAGGGGGCGGGGCTTAGTGGAAAGCGCCATAAGCATCTTATTTGATAGATACTAGTGCTTTACAAATCTACAAACTTATTACTACTTTATCTAGCAAAAGGACTATAGTGCTAATGTAATAAACATCTAGACTTGCCACAAGTCTCTTATTTTTTAATATTTTTATCATTCTGGACAGAAATCGAGTATGGGACGCCAATTAAATTAGGTATGGCACGCACTAAGTGCAATAAAGAGTGAGTAACCCAAAATTAGGGCCTGGAACCTAGGCTACTACTGTAAACAGCTAATAACACCCATTTCAAGCAATGATACGCTACATATGTAAAGCCCTCTCAAATTTTATATGACAAAAAAACCATGTGACATGCCTAAATATGGTAATGATGACATCACACCATGACCATATATAGGCACATCGTGACTATATATAATAATTGGCATACTTCTGTTTTAATTTGTCAAAAGAGAACTTGACTAAGGTCTCTACATGGTTTAAACTTAATAAACTGTCATTCAACACTTCGAAAAGTAATTACATTATTTTCAATCAGCATAATTATATTAAAACTAATGACAATTTAGTGAACAAACCCAAGGACCTCATGACACACCCTCAGAGACAGCTACAAAAAAAAAAGTTTAAAATACCTGCTTTTGCTCTATCTGATGATAGCGTTACATTTTGCGTAATGCTTTGCTCGTCTTCCACATTGAATACACTCGCAGTGCGAAGCTCCGCGAAAAACTGCATAACATCAATCGTGCTTACAAGTGTATCACGATTATCCTCAAGTAGGATACGATAATTTGGGTATTCATCAACAACTGCCATTATGCTCTTCTATAAATGAAATTGAAAAGGAAAACAGCATGAATCTCATGTATTATGAACTGAATTACATATTAAATATCTGATATATATTATGGAAGCTTAGTGGTTGGTTAAGATGTTTGCCTTCTAATCCTGGGGTCCTAGGTCCAATTCGTCGTGAGACAGCAGGACTCTTTCTCACAACTACAAACAACTCCACTCCCTAATCCTCAGAAAGAGACTTCACTGATTAAATCATCAGGTTATTTCATATATTTTAGAGGGCCCATGAAATATCAGCCGACCTTCTAGAACACTCAAGAAGGGTCACTATTCTATAATGTACTAGTAGGAGACAGAGAAATATTTATGGGCTTCTTTTCGAGATAGTACAGTACAATACATACACTGTGCATGAATTTAAAATAAATGAAATGAATTCAAACCATGCTTGGTTTATACGGTAGTTTAGGTGATTTAATTCCGGTTAATACACTCCCTTATACAAACTGTGCTACAGTGTCTCAATTTGTGGCAAAGACAAGCCAAACTGGTCACTCGTCGCAAATCGTGTTTCAGAGAAAATGGCCAAAACATGCTGGAATGTCAAATTTTTAAAAATCTATTTTATTGCACCAAACTAACCTTGATATATTCTATGCTGTTATTTTCCCCATTTTCAATGTTAAAACAATACTTTTTAGGATTTAAAGATAGTTTCTGCATGAGAAATGCCTGAAATCATAAACTTTGACGGCTAATTTTTCATATATGTTCCTTAAACAGCTGTGTGGTTAAATGCTTGTAACTTCATAAGGAAATGTCCGATTTGAATGATCTTTTTACCATATTATAGCTATTATTTTACTCTCTAACACTGTATTAATAACTCAAAATCGATTTTCGTGACGAGTGACTGGTTTGGTTTGTCTTTGCCACATTTATAGTTTTATAGTAGTAATTCCCAAAATTTACAGCATTTATATTGAAAAGAAGTTTCCTTAATACTTTACTTTGCAAAAGTAGCCTCGAAAGGATGCCCATCTCGAAAAAAAAGCATGTGTAAATTTGGCAAAAAAAAGAAACCAGGGCTTTTATTCAAGGTTTTATGGTACTCTTCTTGCTAAACAAATAAATTAACTTGAGTAACACCTTTTCTCTTATAAATAATAAAGGCTCAAATCTGAATATGTCAGGTATTAATTGGATTCGGATAGCTCGACTCCTTGTATAACTCCTACGCGAGAGTAGGCTATTAAGGAACAATATGGCTACTGTGGGACCCCAGGGGCCCAGCCAAAATTTTGAATTCAATGACATGTATGAAATCAAAAATCAAAATAAAAAAAAGAATAATAATCCGTCATAATATCATAAAAAAATAAGTTAATTAAAATACAGAATTTTCAATGATACCATTAGAACAAATCAGCATAAAAAATTCATGATGGTATCTTTATTACCAATCATAGCATATACTTAAAATACTTTTACTTGCTATACATTAAGTAAAATAGTACCTTCCAAATATATTGAGACACAAGCTTTCTTAATTCTGTGAATAAATAAATTCATTTCATTTAATTTTTAAATAAGTGAGTAACACCATTATAATATTGTTTTTGAACTTGGAAAAAAGAATTAATTTAATTACAAGCTTTCTTACTTGTTAAAAGTCCTCGCTGGTGTAACTGCAACCTAATCGATGATCAACAAAAGTGTTGTGAAGGATATAATCATTTAACAGCTCTCTGCAGGAAATCAGCAAGTCTCAGAGTTGTAATCCAGAAACCGTAAATTAGTAAGTCCTTGAGTGGTAATAGTGTACATAGCACAGACACTCAGCTATGGACAATTCCTGATCTTGGAGCTGCAGCAAGTCTACCGCAATTTTCGACTAGGACCACTCTTATGCAGTGACTATCAGGAAGTATCAACGTTGAACCATCTGTAGTAAGAACAAAACAACCATAACAATAAACATAATATCAAACAGATATCAAGGCAGCTGAATGTTAAAGAATCAACCAATCGCAATGGAACACAAATTATGTATTCATAAAGATGATTGGTGGGTGGATTTTTTTTTTTTTTAAATAAAAAGTAGAGCAACGATATTTAATATTGTAATAATATACTGTTTGCGGATGGTTATACTGCTAAAGGGAAAACAATAAGGAAATAGCAGCATTGCCCATTGTGCCCTGACCTAAATCAATGATAACCCACACAAAAACATAAGTAGATTATTAGAACAAATCCTTGATTAGACTAAACCTTAGAAATGAAGGAGGGTAGGCCTATAACAAGGATTTATTAAGGGTATTTCTTACGAAAGCCAAAAGACCTGTGTTCCTAGGCAAGCTGGTGGAGTCCAGAGGAACACCTTCTGTGGTGAGGGGGAGAAGAGGGTTCAGGGAGCTGAGCCCATAAAGCATCCTACCATGTAAATTTGGTCATTATTTTGAGTCCATGAGTGGCTTGGTTCATCAAAGTGGGTTCGCATTAAAAGGTGAACCAATGAAACCCTCCTATGTCCCACCCACTCCACTCCTTACAGGGGGACATGCAGGGATATAAAAAGGCATTTCAAGTCAATTGACCTGACCTTAAAAAGGTTGAAAACACATTCAAATGCAGCGAATCTTGTAACCTACAGTAGGTTACATTTGGCGAAATTTTGCATGTGCAATCAGCGGTCTACTGTATTATTAGTGATATCAGGAAGGTGATTGCAATATTAGTATAGTAAAGCAACCACCATTCTAAATAAAGTTCAAGCTATATAAAATAAGTCAACCCATTGTATTTAGAAGGATCACTGTTAGCACTTCTTAGGAAATATCTTTCCAGGTAGAGTCACGACCGTTTCAGTTTCTCCATTTTAATAGGTTATGACGTAAACTAGTTGTAGAACATTTGTAAATGCTCCACCATGCGAAAGGAATTGACATTATTCATGCAAATTCCCACTCATTATGATATTCAAAACTTATCCATTGTTATAAATTCCCATAAACACCTGCCATTGTTATATTCAGACAGCCAAGATATTTCGGGAATAAAAGTAACCGCAAACTCTTTCATATTCTATATAACTGTACTTGCTGTAATTCATAACTAATTTATTTAAACCAGCAATTCATAAAACAGCATTAAGATACAGTACTTAATTTACAATTCTATACCACTATTGATTCTGGATACAGTATTAATTATTTATTAAAATATAAAGTTCAATTCTTATGTTTTATCTATCTTGTAAGACAGAAGCTTTGATTGCTTCCTTAATTCTTTACTGAATATGTGAGTAGACCTTAAGCCACTTGTACGACCATCATACGATGAATACAACTTCGCATCCTATGAGCGCAAGACGATGTCATCTGCTAATTGTCCGTGGCAGCCTGAATGGATCGTCATTGAAAACAATGCGCTGTGTGCAAGCCATTGTGTTCTTCATGGAAATGTGTAGGACGACGCCTATCACATGCAGTGAGTACGGCAACACAATCAAATTTAACTACTACCATAAATTTAATAATACATTTGTTTGATGACCAAACATTATCAATGAAACTACAGTACACGTATGAGTAACAAATGGGAATGAATTGACTATTCCAACTAGAATTTTATATTTAACATGCGAGTGGCCTTTAACACAAACAAACTTAACTACCAGATATATTAATATACGTGGCCAGGTCTAGTTGAGATTTTGTTTGATGACTAAACATTATCAATGAAACTACCGATAACAAATTATCAATGAAACCAACAGGACATACGTGAGTAACAATGGAAATGAATTGACAAATTTGGCTAGAACTGTATCAGAGTAAATATATACATACACCATGCGCCATTGGACACACATGCATTTTGACCTTTTACGCTCGCCTTAAATACTTCCACCATCAATCCAGTGGTGTCTGTCTACTATAAAGTGTTTTATCACTTCCACCATCAATCGAGTGGTGTCTGTCTACTATAAAGTGTTTTATCATGTCAGATGTATTCATAAGATTTCGCATATTAATAACAGGTAGGATGAGGCAGCACTCTGAGACTAACTTTATAAAGATGTAATTGGGTCCGCCCAAGGTGATGACCTCAGAGCCTCACTGCTGTTCTTGTTCTTGTTACCAAAACTTTAAAAGCGTCCAGCGTCGCCATATTTGAACAGAGGTTTGCAGGAAATTTTGTACACATAAATTTGAGGAGATTTCCAACAAACACTCATCGCCCTTTTTAAAAGTCGAACCCAAGGGTTCCCCTACACCTACAAGACAAAACAGGGGTTTCACTGTCTGCAAGGACTGTATAGTAAATTACTGCCATTACCACAACAGTAATAGGGAACGTCGCATGGATGGCGCAGTTGTTTAAGGATGTGTTCAAATGAATTTAAGGTTGTGAGTTCGAATCGCATCTTGGTATTCAATTTTTTTTTCCAAATTTTAAGAAATTTAATTTTTTTCAATTTTAAGATATTTTAATTTTAAACAAATGAACATTCTAAATAATACTTTTTTTTGTACAAATAAACACCCAAATTATTAAAAAATTTCTATCTTATTAGCTCTTCCAAAAAACCCAAAATAATAACTTGTGCCTGTACCGTATTTAAGTGTGGAGGAATGCGCGGTCTGTAAGCAAGTCACTCTTTTTTTACTAGACACAAGCTTTCATTGCCAATTACATATTTAAAGTATAGCCTCAGGGTGCTGCCTCAACGTTACCTGTTATCAATACCGTATTTATTCAGACTAACAGGACTACTTTTTTTAATCACTCCAGTGTCATGTATTAAAGTTTTTCTATGTGCTATCAATTTGATTTAAAAAAAAAGTATTACTTGCTCACTCAATGCAAATACCTTCTCAATGCAAATTAGGCCTACTTCAGTGGCAGATTCAGAGGGGGAGGGGGATGGGCTCAGCCAGCCTGCAACCCCCGCCCATAATTTTAAAAATTGTAAAACGTTTTTTAACCATTTTAGTTATATGATTTTAAGTGCATTTTTAGCAACTGGCAAATCAATTCGTAGTTCACGTGCTTGATTGATGACAATAAAAAAGTGTTTAGTTCACGTGCTTGATTGATGACAATAAAAAAGTGTTTAATTCTTGCTTCCTGTATTTACTAACACAGTCATTTGACTGTGTTTCACAATCTGTGATAATAAACGTTAATTAATATTTGCTTTTATATAATATTATTAACTTTCTATTGGAAATTAGAAAGGCAATTTGACCTCGTTACATCAATATAAGCAGATGCATACAATTGAAACTATTTCTTTCATAGACCCAGATGAATACAGTATCTAGGCATTTTAAAATAGGGAGGGGAGGGACAATGGGGTAGGGAAGTTCAGTGGGGGGCATCGATGATTATATGAGGAGGTGCTACCTCGCAACATAAGATGATATGAAGTATTTTTTAACTACTTGAGCAAGATTTTTTTTGCTTCATACATTGGGGTGTGGGGTGGGCGGTAAGTTTTTTTTTTTTTTGGCTGGGGGGAGTGGCCATTCCCCGCAAACCGCCCTGTTCAACTGAGTTTATTGCGTGTTGGGCTGGGTTTGGTAGTTTTTTACGCTCATTTCACTTGGGAGACCTGGAAATACTAACTACAGTGGAGGATATAGATAGCTTAAGTGCTACAGAATTACTGTACCAAGGAACAAGTATTCAAGCACCAAGTAACCAATTTAAGGATTTTCATAGTAAAGTCTGTAAATCTGAGAAAAAAATCTGAATCTTTTGATCTTTGTTTTATTGTAATAATAATAACTTTATTGGATCTTAAATGAGCAATTTAACGTTTTTAATTACTGTTTTTAAATTTTAACATACTGTTAAACACATTCATGTTTCATTATATTCAAACACTTAAATTCAAATATTTCGACATAATTTAAAAGTTCACTTCAAATCAAATAATTATAATGATAAAATCATTCAATAATAATTATGATTACATACTACAAAAATATCATGAATACATCACTTAACAGACCATGTACAGACTAACTGAATTTAAAATATCTTAAGGTTTTGTTCATGCAATGTCAGAAGAATATCGTGAAGAGTAGAAAGTCACGAAATTTTTTCTTTTGGCACATAATCAGAAAAGATGGGTTTCAACGGCTTCTGCTTGACGGCAAAATGGACGGAAGGAGATGAGTTGGACAGCCAAGAGTTGCCTGGTCAGGAAACGTCAAGGGATAGGGCGGCAGGAGCCACGACAGGTGCGTCAGGATGGCGCAGGACAAGAGATGCAGGTCCATGTCAGCCAAACGTCTGGGAGCAGAGGACCCCCAAGGTCAGATAAAGAAGTTCACTATAAGCAAACGGAAGCTTACGGATTCCCAATATATTTTGTTAGCAGTGACGTATCTAGGGGTTTTCAACTACTTTTACATAAATTCATTTTCCAGTGTGTGGGGGTGGTAGTAGGGGGCAATACTGGGAGGACTTGAGCTATTTTCTGGAGGGCCTGTACCCCTCCCCATCCCCTAGATAACGATTTGTTAATCTGTAAAATGCTGTCTTCATAAAATTCATTGCTATATATTTAGACTAACAGCCACCCAATATATTTCTAAAACATTTCATCATATCATTCTTGTGATTTTATATTTTAGATGTTGTTTTTGCTATTTCAGTTTTTCCTGTAATTGGGAACAGAGTGTTCCTGTTGGACAATAGTTTGTTTGAAATAAAAATTAAATAGTCATATAATATATCACTACAACATCAATTTAAACATTGCCAAATTACAAAATAAAGGAAATAACATCACCAGTCTACTTGAAAAAGCGAACGGATCATTCGCGAAACGTAGTGTGAGTACTATTGTTTTTTATTTTGTTGGATCAACACTAATGAAAAATTTCATACAAATTATATTTGGATCCAAATGAATTTATTTCAAAA